AGAATACATATTAATTAGATTTATTACAGTTTCATCTCTTTCTAAAATAATAATCGTTTTAATTATAGAGTAAGTCATATTTTTTTAAAAAAATATTTTTATTCATAAAAGTCAAATACAGTTAATTTTTTTTATTAATTTAGTTTAATAAACTTCTATATAATACATTAAATTTTGTTGTTAAAATTAAAATTTTCGAATAAAATTATAGAATTAAAATTTTTTTTTGAAATAAAAAATGTAAAATTTACTTCAAATTAATAATTATAAGCACACTTTTCATAATAATTACAAATTAAATATCAAATAAAATATGACTAATAATTTAAAAGTAATTTAATTACTTTAGAATAATTTTCAATAAGCTATCAAAATAAAATATGACCTAATAATTTTGAGTAAATATATTACTTTTTCGAACTAATGAATCAAAAAACTCATGACTCAACATCTGGAGGACAATTTTATTACTATTTTTAAGAAATATTATTACTTTTCAACATTTTTCAAAATTACAAAACATCACATGACATCACATGACTTATAATTTTGAGTAATAATTTTACTTTTTCGAACTAATGAATAAAAAAACACTCGACCCAACATCTGGTGGACAATATTTTCCCTATATCTGAGAAAAATTATTACTTTTCAACGATTTCCAACAACAAATACATCACATGACTTATAGTTTCGAGTAACGATTTTACTTTTTCGATCAAATCAATCAAAAAACACTCGACCCAACATCTGGTGTACACTTTTATTACTATTTTTGAGAATAATTTTTACTTTTCAACGCTATGCACAAACAACTTTATAAGTTAGCGCCTGAAAGCTCGACTTTCATTGGTCGACTGAATTTTCACAATTTTACGCCAACATGCTTCAAATTTTGCGCATAAAATCTCGTCTCTCATTGGTCCATTAGCTTTGAAAACTCATTCTACAGTGGCGCTTCCGCTGCACTTTTCTCACTGTGTCTTGAAAACGTTTTATTATATTAAATATACAAATAAATATATATTGTACAGTATATACATTTATAACAAAAATATTAGATAAAATGTTTTCATCCTATATTATATTTCTGTCAATAAAATAAAAAGCATTTCACTTATTGACAACAAAAATGTTTTTGTTATGTGTGTGTCTCTGCACTTATTATAGTATATATCTTGTATAATGAGATTCATCTGTTTATACCGTATTATAACTATTATTATTATTATTATTATTATTATTCTATACGTTATTTTATACAACAACTATATAATATATTCACTAAATTTAAGTTAAATAATAAAATTAATTTATTATTAAACTAAACTGTTTCTACTGTATATTAAATAAGACATTTAATTTTAATAATTACTTTTAAGTGTAACCCTTATAGTCAACAAACATAATCTGATGCCACGATTCCTAATGTTTATTTAAATTTTAAATTACTATTTCATCTAAATTATTAAATATACTGTAATGTACTGTATATACATGTATAATTTTATATTTATTTAAAATACTGTTAATAAAATGTATTTAAAAATCCTACTATTTTAATACTATTATTTAAATTTTAGATAAAAATTTCGCAATAAAATAATTATTATATAGACTTTAAATGCAAAACCTAAACGGAAATTGCATTTTTAGACATATTATTAAAATTATTTATTAGTTTCTAATTCCAAACACAATGTTTTTTAAAAAAATATAATTCTATACAAAATAATATTTATGATATTATATTTACATAAATATATAAAATTAAAATTAATATAATGAAATATAAATAATAATATATAAAAAATCATTTAAGAAACAAATATTATAATATAATTTATAAGTTATAGTCACTAAGATTGAAAAACTACAAATAAATAAAGTACATTTTGATGTTAATGATACAGTAAATCAAATCTATATTTTGTTAACTATATTTTATTAAATTTAAAGATAAATTTTTACCAAAAATAGCTAATTTATTCAAATAAATAAAATTATACTAAAATCTTTAAACATTTTTTATCTAAATATTTTTTATTTTAATATTTTTATTTAAACTTATATAGCCTCTATTAACAAATAGATTATGCAATATATTAATATCTACAGCATTGTAATAATTAATAAATAAATAAATTTTATTATTTAGTAATAAGTACTAATAAAAAGTGATACATGATTTATAAATTCAGATTAAAATAGGCTTAATTTATTTTAGATTAAAATTATTTTAAAACATTTTTGTAACAATCATATTAATAGGCATTTTCTCACTGTATTGTAGATAATGCTATATTACTGTATATTAAACAAATAGCTAGTATTAAAAATAAAAAGCAAAGAACATATATTTAATATCATTCATAGTATTTATAATTTTTGAACAAATCAATAAATATTTGATGTATATGTAAATATTGAAATAACTTATTTTAAAAAATTAAAAAAATAATTAATAATAATTATTATTTACTTAGAAATATAATTTAAAATAAAAATTATTATACAATATTTTCATTATATTTTCATTATATTAATATTTTAAATATTTGAATTATAAGGAAATATTTACATTTTATAAAAATTATTTTTAAATTTTATTAATAAAAATTAAAATATAAAAAGATTATTATAAATTTAAAATTTATTTTTTATATGTCCTATAATTTTTATTAAAAATTATTAAATAGCTACTTTTATACTGTATAAATTAATAATAAATATTATTTTCAATTTATAAAATAATATTTTATTTATTAAATATAAGAGAAAAAATATGAGATTAAATTATAATATTTATTTTAAGATTTTCTCTATATAAGTACAGTTTAAGTTTATTCAGTTTATAATATACTTTTGGATTAATTTGATAAATATTTTTTATTATTTTTTAAATCAGTAATTCATTTATATTTATATTGATATAAAAGATTAATATAATTTGTTGTTGTTGTAAATTATTAAATATATTTAATACTGTAATCTTTGTAAATATTTTGTTTACTAAATAAGTAATCAACAAAATAATATACTGGTAAAATAAATATATACTTTTATTTATAATTTAAATAAGTTTTGTAATATCTAAATTTGTTTACTAACAAAATATTTTCATCAATATTTATAAGTTTGCTAATATTATATTTTAATTATCAATAAAATAAAAATATATCCCAACTAAACTATAAGCTAAATGTCAAATAATATATTAAAAACAAATTAAATCTATAAATAGTATTAATATATCCAATAAAAGCATAAGATTAATGACAATTTATTGAAAAATAAAAAATAATCAAAAAATGTCTCAATTTACTAATTATTTTCAGATAACTATTTTTGTATCATAATTATTTTTACAGAAATTTCAAATATGATATATGAATTGTTTAGTTTAAATTTTTAAAATCAATATTGTGTGTGTAAATAATAATTATTAAGGATTATGGTAAATTTATAAATTTCAATTTTAAAAAACTACTTCAATCTCTATATTACATAAATTTTGTACATTATTTAATTTATTCATCAAATATTTTTTAAAAAAGATAAAATATTTTCTAACACTTTTATAGCAAAAAAATATAAATTATTTTTAAATTGATTTTCATTCAGGATATGAGAGGCAATTAAGTGATAGTTATGAACGGCATTACAAACTCTCTAATTGTTTTCATAATGTTTTTAATGCATTTTTGTATTTAATAACTATTACATGTATACTGAGTCAAGGGTTCCACTTAGACCTATATATTATGGGATAATAGAATCTAGAAAATTAGAGTGACCAACTTATTTTATATTTAGAGTATACAAAAAAACATTTAAATAATAATAATATACAAATAAGACAAATTTGTTAATTAACTATTTATTTTAACATAAAAAATTCATAAATACTAAATATATAAATTTTAAATTAAAACAACATTAAAGACACAAAAATATTATAATAACAATTTTACTTATTTTTACTGTATTAACAATTATAAAATTTCTATTGTAATGTTATTATGCAATAATTTGAATAGCGTTATGTGTATTAAATGCTTTTCCCTTTTTTACCCTTTTTCCATATACTCTATTGGTTGATCCCACTATTATATCAATATATGTTCAAATTTTATAATGATATTGAAGTTAACATTAAAGATTATTTGTATCGATTGCATTGTATTTAGTTTTTATTTGTAGTTTAATAAAAGATTATGTGTTTGTTTGCAATTATTATTTTGATGCTTAAGTCCTAATGAACTTCTTCTTCATATATGATCACAGATTTTAGTAGAAAAAAAGTAAAGTAGAGTTCAATTAAGACAATTGTCGTTAAACAACCATTAGGTATCAAATTGTCTTTAATTGTGTTCATATATATGATCGATAAAAAAGGAGACATTGTTTTACTTAAATATTTAATCTTAATTATTTGTAAAATTATATGTCACTAAATAATTTAGTATTATGTGTTTTTTATATTATATTATAATTTTATGTATAATATACTTAATTTTGCATATTTTCTATTTGTTAAGAATATGTAGTTTTTGAAAACAATTGTTTAAACTGATGACTTAATTATACAAAAAGCAATCATATACAATACAGTGTACACACACAACATTAAATATATTAATATAAAAAAAATATTGCTAACATTATACTATATGATATATTTAATTTATTATCATATATTATAAGACATCAACAAATATGACACTTAATAAGGTATAAAGTTGTTTGCTTTTATAATGCAATTTTCACTTACATTACTTTAATTATATAACATAGAGTACATTATGTGTGACACAAACACACACTGTAGACAATATAATAGAGAATATAGTAATTACTTATATATATATATATATATATATATATATATATATATATATATGATATATGGTATGAAATTAGTTATCAAAAAAGCATATAAAAAATGATGGATGAGATGGTAATCATGCGATTATTGTTGACAATAGAGGTGTACTCACCAGATAAGTGTCATTTCCGCCAACAATACTGATTCCTAATTCATTTTTCTTATCTTTTCTTAAGACAACAGTTGTCTCAACAAACTCTTGTATATTACTTAATGCTATTCTTGTGGGCGAAACGTCGGCATCGATGTCGTGATCACCGCTAGTCATACAAACACCGAGATCTGTATCAAACACGACAGTACTCATCGATAATGACTGTGTCATCAGTGGTGGCGATAGTCGTGCAGTGATTTGACCAGTGCTTGGCTTTATGTCGGGTAATAATAATATTTCATATCGTTTATGATTGTCGTTGTCGTCATTATCATAATCCATGTCCATTAGCGATACTTCGGCGTCGCTGAACCCAAACGAGTGCTCTTTATTGGCATATATCCAGCCCTCAGATACCGGATCTATCCTCTCATTTGTTAGACTTGTTAATTGTGAAGCACTACTACTTTTAGTTAAACTCATAGCTGCTGTTTAGTTGACATTTATTTGATATATTAGTTTATATGTCAAACAATTCAATAATAATAATAATAATAATTTGAATAAACTATTTTTAGCCATTTTTTCAATTAATTAGTTTTTTCTCTTTCTCTCACAATTATTCAATGAGTCTGTAAATGTAATGAATAACAAAAAATTCAATTTATTTAGCATTAATTATGAATTGTTATAATCAAAATGCATTCAAAAACTCGGATAAATTGTTTAGTAAAATATTAATAAGTCTATATTAAATGTTATATACTATGATATTAACTAGAAATGACCACTACTGGCAAAATTCAATCAATAAAAAACAATATAAAATTTAATATAAATTATAGTCACAGTATAGAATCTATATTAAAGATTATTAATTTTTATATATTATATATTATGTACTGTATATAAAAACAATATATTTGGTTTTCTAATATATTTTTTGGTAGTTTTATTCTTACTATTAATTATAAGGTAAGAAAAAACAATTGCATTTTCAAACTAATTATTTAAATACACGCTATAAAGACTTATGAGAAAATTAATTTTAAGCATTCATATACTGTACTGATATAGTAAACAAATATAATTACATGTAATTATAATATTATGTTAAATATAATTTTGAATAAATACAGATGTTATTAGATGTTTGTAGATGTTATTATCTATTCAAATGGATATATGATTGAATTGAATGATTTAAGCAAAAAAAATATGAAAATAACAACGATATTCAAATAAAACAAAAATAAAAACAAGCAAACTATATAATATATAAATAATTAATAATAAATCAATTGATTGAAAAATAAAGCATAAAGGTATAAAAAATATGCTTTTAAATGTATATAATATACAGTATATACCTGTAATTGTAATATTTATAATAATATCTATTAACAATTTTCAAAAATAATTAAATTAAATACAATTAAAAAATAATTCCAAAGATTTATAAATATTTGTAATAAAATTAGTTTATTTTTATAAAAGAAATAAAGTTTAGTACCTATATATTTATATCCATTTTTGAACATTTAATGTCACTTTTATATACACAAACATTTTATTGAATATATAATAGAATGAATTATTTCAAATATTCACTTTAATAATAAATATTTAGCATAAACTTTAAAATAATAAGATTTTGATTTAATTAGATATAATAGAAATAAAATTAATTTTTACTAAATATTTTACTGTATATACAACATAATTATATTATTAAATTACTTAATTTAATGATATTATAAAATTAATTTTATAGTTAATCTGTATGTAAATTATTATGCGATTAAAAAAAAGTCAGCGATAACTGAGTGATTGACATAAATTACTTGCAGTTTGTGATCATTAGTTAACAGCAACTGAAAGACTGAATGAAAGCATTTTTATTAATACAGTATTTCAATAAATGATAGAACATTACTGTAGAGCATGAGTGCCACCAATTGATATACCAGAGCATGACTTATATTCAACTGAATAAATCAGAGAAAGAAAGAGAGAGAGAGAGAGAGAGAGAGAGAGAAGAGAGAGAGAGAGAGAGAGAGAGATCATTGATCGTAAAAAGTTTTATCTGTATAAACTTATATATTTAATTATTTGTTTACCAATTTCAAAATTATCTAAACAAATCATCATTAAGTGATTAAACTGTTAGAAATTAATTATACAAATTTTTATATTGATAAAATGTGTATACAAATATTAACCTGGGTCAATCTATTTCAGTATTGAATGTTTTGTTAATTATAAGTATTGTTTATAATAACAATATGTTTGCTTTATTTTGCAAAGAATTCTTAAACTAAACAAAATATAAGATGTAGTAATAATTTTTTATATTTGATAAAAAAAATATTTATATGTTTTTGTTGATGCTATTATTATTATTATTATTATTATTATTTGGTATATATTTTTATACATATTTAATATTATCATAATAAATAATAATGCATTCAAGTTTATGATATATTTTATAATAAACTGTATTTATTTTAAAGTCCAGTCACTAAATATATTTTATTGTTATAAATATGATTAACATTTAATTCTAGTATTAGTGTATTGTCTCGATACTACTATTGGCTTAAATCTTATATTTCCAAAAACTTTATACTTTTAATAAAATAAAACTAATTTGTAATATTATATTTTATAAACTTTTAATACTATAAATGCAAATGTTAATATAATTTCTAAAAAAATGTAATGTTTACTGTCTTATTGATTGAAATCAATTCAAACATTAATAAATTTTTATACTGAAATATATTAAATATTAAACTTGTGCTTTGCTTAACAGTAACTTTGATCATATGATTAAATAACTCATATACACCATCAATTGAATATTAGTAATTATACGCTAAACTATCTAGGTTATTCAATATGATTGGTTGTCCAATACAATGATGAATCAATGGTTTATTCAATCAAATATTTTGAATTGTTGTTAACTGTGACAACTCTAAAGTGATCACAAAAATGACTTCAACTATATTACTATAGTCCTTACGAGTCATCAATTAGTCCATAAAATATTTAATTATTAATTTCACACACATATATATATATATACATATATATATACTTATATATATTCCTAATAGTAAGCTTTTTATAGTTAAAGACAATTTCATATTTCACTTATATATATATACTTAGTTTGACATTATTTTAACGTATAGTCATAAGACTTAAAGGAATATTTACTAACAAGAAATCAGTTGAAAATTAATTGTTACTCAAATAATAGTTAATAATAAAACAAAATATATAGTTCATTATATTATATTAAAATATAATATAAAAATCATTTCAACTCTTATTTAATTAATTTCCCGACATTTCTGGACACCTAAAGAGTGAAACATTGCATTGAAACGAATGAGTCAATTGATGTTTAGTTGAAATCAAATCAGTATAAAAGGAAAAACAAATCAATTATTTTTCATAACTTTTATTATTTTTAATAATTCTTAACGATTTTGTGTCTTAAATACATTTAAACGCATTTAATTATAAGTTAATATAATTTTAGATTATTTTTGATACAATTTTATATCTTTAACATCTTTAAGACATCTTTAAGACATCTTTAACGGTAAGCATTGATATTTGATTTGATTTAATTGATTGCGTCTTAACTTTTGTGACATATTCTCGAAAGTAGTCTTTTGTGTCAATTGTTCTTATATTTTATCGACAATCAAAGTCCTAATTTAAAAGATCAATGGATAATACTATTCTCGAATGCGATTCTATTTATCAACTGTTAAAGAAGTTCAAAATTAGTGGTCAAAATGTGGATCAAAATGGATCACCGAATATCAACAACTCGACCTCAAATGTAATGAATGGCTTCTGGAATGAATTGAATGGATCCAATCGATCCAATCGATCCAATCCTTTCAATGGATTCGATTATGGGAAAGACTCGTCAACTGGACAGTCGAGTCGTATCGGAGGCACAATTGATTTGGGCTTTGGTTTGACTCGAAACTCATCGTACTTTAAGCCCATGACTGGTGATAATCCAAGAGATAATTTCATGCCTTCAAACGGAAACGGAAGACAAAACAAACAAATGTATAAAATGTATTGAATTTGCTTTTAATTAAATAATAATATAAATTGATTTAATAACTCAAGATTTGATTTGAGCCAATCATTGAATGGGTCGATCGATGGAAATTTCAATATTACTAACAATGGAGTCTATGGCCGAGGATCTGGTACTCTATCGGTGAATAAGATATGGAAACCTATTGAAGATTGTTTTACTAATTCTCAATTGACATTCAAGAGAATTATGGAAGAAAAGCTTATTTCGCAAATGAAGGCAACGGCTAATTACAACTGGACCGGACAACTGCCGCGAAAAACACGTAACAAGAATCCCATCTATTCGTGCAAAGTATTCCTCGGCGGTATTCCATACGATTTGACCGATAGTGACCTTCACTGCACATTCGCTCAATACGGAAATATTCAAATTCAATGGCCAGGAAAAGACATCAGGAGTGCTATCGATAGCGCCACTCATAATAAAGCCGGTTATGTCTACATTATATTCGAGTCATACGACAACGTGACTGCTTTGCTCCAGAAGTGTACAGTTAGTTATAAAGATGTTGAATCCGGTTATCGTTTCTACTATAATCTGTCGTCTCGTCGACAAAAAGCAAAAGAAGTTCAAGTGATCCCATTCGACATCGGCGACCGTTTCTATATGAAGAACACCTTTTCAGGACAAATGGAACACTCGAAGACTGTCTTTGTGGGAGCACTTCATGGTATGTTGTCAGCAGAGGGATTGGCTCGAGTGATGGACGATTTGTTTGGTGGTGTGGTCTTTGCTGGACTCGACACCGATAAACACAAGTATCCATTAGGTTCAGGAAGAGTATCATTTGATAACAAAGACAGTTACGACAAAGCAGTCGCTGCGGCTTTCATTGAGATAAAGTCTCCGCGATTCAAGAAAAAGATTCAAATTGATCCCTACATTGAAAACGAGTGCGAGTGTGCTATTTGTCACACACAGCAACAGATGCCCATCTATTGTAGAGATGAGTTCAAGTACTTTTGCTTGAAGTGCTGGGAGGAACAGCACTCGGATCCCGAATCAAAGAACCATCGAGTGATCGTCAAAAACAAACAACAAACCGCCTAAACTCGACATTTGAAATATTAATATAAAATGAAATTTGTTTATTGAATAAAAATTAAATTTTGAAGTAACTAATTATTATCATCCATTGAGTCATCCAAGTTATCTGAACCAAGAGTTTTATGATAGTCCTGTGAAGGACTATCTAAAAGCATACATTCCTCATCAGAATGTATGGGACTATTCATAACTATATTGTTATCGAGAAAATTGCCGGTATTTGTTGTAATTGTTTGCTCATCACTTGCGACTTGCATTGGAACAGATGTGGTGATAGTTTGATTTGTAAAATAATTATTAGTAGAATCGGATGCTGCCATGAATTGAGTATTTTGTTCATTCAATGAATTATTTTCTATATTTAAATTAATTAATGAGTGATTGGTAGTTGAAGAAGTAGATGAAGAAGCTTCTGTGGCTAATGTCTGCAATGGTTGGTCACTATTATCAGAATAAAATGCGTCAAATACTATCTGCTGTACATTGACATCGACAGCACCACTATTTTCACATGTATTTTGCTGATCATAATCAGTAAATGTTTGCGAAATAACATCAGTCTGTGGAGTTGAACTAATGGTAGAATCAGTGAATAGATTGTTGTCTTCAATTGTTATGATCTGATCAGTCAGCTGTGGCTCTAATGTTGTTTCAATAGAATCAGTGATAACCAGTTCGTCATTCAGCACTTGATTTACAACTGTTTCCGTTGTATGAGAAGAGCTAACAACTGTTTCTGTTTGACTATTTTCCTCTGAGATGTCGATAATATTGTTTTCAATATTATTTGGTGACAATCTTTCCGTTTTAATTGTACTCAACACAGGTATTGTCGATTCAGTGATAATCGGCTGTTCCGATGAATTGCTAATATTTGGCTCCAAATCAGTAATAGATTGCGAGAATGTTTGGGAATCAATGGTTGGAGAGAATCGTTCAGTTTTAATAACATGTAATAGCGGGACATTTGTTGTGTTAATTACACTGTTTATGGTCGATGGTGTCACTGAAACTGATTCCGATGATTGTATAGCAGTAGTACTATTGATGACTTGATTATCAATCGAACTCGAGTTAGATCCCGAATCAATAGATTGTTGTATTTGTTGTAAAGTTGTTACCTCTCTATCAATGATAGGAGTGTCTGGTCTTTCAGTTTTAATTCTAACGTCAGAAACAGTATTCGATGAAATGGTTTGGTTTTCATCAGAAGTGGTAGCAATTGATTCGGTCGTTGACTTTGAAACACTAATACTTTCACTGACTGTTAGATCGTTAGATAATTCATTAGTTTGTAATTCATTTTGTTGTGATTCAGAATTACTGGAAATATCGTTGACTATTGAGTCGAGTGTTTCATTCGGTATCGGAATCTCTTCAACACTACTCGGCAAAGGACTGGTCGCCGACATAATGCACTCAACTTCTGAATCTGAATCGGGTTCTTGTTTAACAACTGTTTCAAATGTCACTGGAATGGGTCTATTGGTTGTATTTGATGTATCAGATGTCGATGAAGTGACATCAGATGGATTGTAATTTGGAAAAATATTCTCTAAGTCCACTGATTCTGAATTTTGTATTAAATTACTGGCCATCGGTAGATCAGCCGAGAGTCGTGGTCGTCGTCCTCGTCGACTATTACCGCGTCTAACAGTGTCTTGAATTGGTATATAGTCTTCATCATTGGGGTCGACATCTGATTCGATTTTGATTCGAGTTCCTCGTCCACGAACTCCACCTCTTAAAGCTGTTTGCGGTTTTACAACACCGCCATAATGTCCACCTCTTACGGCAGTCTGCGGTTTATAACCAAATGAATGTGCGCCACGAATGGCAGTGGCCGGTCGACCCAATTGCGGTAAATGACCGCCACGTATAGCTGTTTGCGGTTTATTAGTTGATAAATTAGTTGATTTAGTAATCATTCCCGTAGTTTTTGATAGCAAAACCTGTTGTCTTTTAGTTGGCGGTCCCGACGATGAAAACACTTTAACATCCTCTTCACTGTCAACTTCGATATTATCGCAATATCTTCGCGGACGACCTCTTTTGCGTGTATTTCTTACAAATAATGCGTTAATGTCTTCAGTTTTAGTAATAATTCCAGTCTTCTCTTCGTATGAGTCAATAATATCAGATAACTCTGAAACTTCCAATGTCTTAGCGGATGACTTAAGAGAATGAAACTGATCCCTAGTGACAGTCACTTCTCCCCTATACATCAGGTCAATGATGGCCTTTAAGTCATCGTATGGCATGTCTTTCAAAACAACAAACGGATAGTGCAATGGATTTTGTATTGAATCAAACAGTCGTTTGAAGAATGGACTGAATATCGACAGTACTGTCCGATGGGCCCGAACTACGTGATCATCACAGGCCAGAGTCACGTCTGTCATGGCTTCCGACTCAAGAAGACACTCAAAACCTGTCGAAACAAATCAATCAAATAGTTTACAAACAATTGTAACAAATATATCAAAAATAAAACAAATGATATGTTTGTCTAAAAAAATTGAGACAATTGTTAGTCAAACCTGATGTGAGTCTTGAGTGGTGATCAGCTCTTCTCAACAATAATATCCTCGACTGAGAAGCCATTCATTCAATCAAAATGTTTGTATCAATAGATGTGTCAAATTTGGACAACAATTTTATTATACTATCAATCAATTCATAAATAAATACAACAAATAATAATAAATATAATCAAAACATATTATAATATATTATTATTATTATTATTATTCAATTGACACTCGAGTCTCACAAACATTATTATAAACAATATTACAACAATTATATTAATTTAATTAACTATTAGTTGAATACAATAAATAAAGTAATAAATAAAGTAATAATAATTATTTGATAAAATTTATTTTATATCAATAATTAGTTATTAATTAAATGGATAAGTATTAGACTCCAGTGTTGAGTATTGACTGTATTATTAATATTGTATTACACACTGAATCCTATATTAAATTTAATAATAATATCAAACAATATATGAAAGTATTGATCGCTTGAGTGCAGCACTTGATTCATAGATATTGCAAACTATTTGTTATTTATTAATATTTGTATTAAAGTTTTAATTATTAAGTTTATTATTATTTTAAACAATTTGTATAATAAAAAAAATATGTGTTTATTAAGTATAACTTTGAAACTAGTGTTAACCCGAAACTAAACATTTTTGTTTGTATTAACCAAACCGCACATCAAAATTGTAAGCAATTTTTACATATAATATATTTTTTATATAAATTATTTTAAAATAATAATCACCTATGTACATTTGTAAACATATTAATTAAAAAATATTCAATCTAATAAATCAATATGTTTTTGGAGATAAATTAGTTAAGACTTGAAAAATTTAAAAAAAATATTTTTTAATATATGGTATATAACGATAACGACGTCCGGTTAGCTATTTTTAAAAACATTTAAATAAATAAATGAAATGTAAAACTGCTGTACAGTATCTGCTTGTTTTCGATATGTATACCAGATATACATCTAGGATTGCCAACTCATTTTGTTGTTGTTAATAAACCGGACAATCTGTTAACTCTAACTTTAAAAACTTTATGATAAAAACCTGACATAAAAAACTTATACTGATTTTTAATTCAATGTTTAAAATTTTTTATTAATAAAACTATACCAAAAATTTAAAATCTAATCTCAATTTACCATGATGCAAAAATGCAATACAGTATATTGCCATTTATAAGATACTGTAGATAATTTATAATTTTACAATTAACTATTTATACAAACAATTCAATGTGTTATAATTATTAGCTTACCTGCAATTAATTATAATAGAGAGTTAAACTTTAATTATAACTTTAATCATATTATTTAATTAAGTTATAACTTTATTAATCAAATTATCATTATTAAAATAATTAATTACTAGGCAAATTTTTTAATTTTTAATTTTATTTTTTGATAGTAATAATAATAGATAATTAATAATTAAAAATCATATAATAAAAAAAGTGTTGATTAAAACTAATGTAAATAATAATAATAATTAATAATAATATCCAAATTTAATAATAATAATAATAATAATGCAATAATAATCAATATGAGACATCAATTGATAGGCACATAATGTACTACAAACATCTTAATATTAAATTTTAGTATATATAAGATATACTATATTTTTATATATTTTTATATACCTTTACACATGTTTTTTCAATTTATTTATAATACAATTATTTATATATTCAAATATCAATTAATTAGTAACTAAACTAATTTATTTATTTATTATAATATAATATATGTATATATATTTGAATGTATGTAGAATATACTGTATATAATATAAAGATTATCACTGATTATAGATATTTTTTATTAATAGTATATAATTCTAACAATTACTTTATATAATATAATCATATATAAAAGCACTATCATATCAATAAATCAATTTTAATTTGATAATAACCAATGAATCTATCAAAAGATATTTTATGTTATTCATTATCTTTATATATATACTATAATATTAGTTAAATTACATTTTAATGAATCCTTTTGAATATATTTATATATTTAATATTATTTATAATATTATTATGATATAAAGCAAGTTATAATTATCTATTAAAATAAAATCTATATAAACTAGAGATCACAATAAACGGCAAATAATGAGTTGATTTCCCATAAAATTATTTTGTTTGAATTGTTTTATGTATATATATATATATATATAATTTATATAAATAATTAATGATAGTTTAAAGCATATAAAATGTCAAATCAGCAATAATTTACAAAAAAAAACTATTATTTTGTTGCGTAATAATGTTGGAAGAGTTGGTATGAATTAGGAGCGGACTGTTGGCTGTGATGTTGTTGTTGTTGCTGTTGTTGCTCCAGAAGTTGCTTATATACGGCATAGTTGGCGGCCTTAGCGCTGTCCAATTGTGCGGCCATTATGTGATCAGCTATAGCTTGAGTACCAATAGGATATGCGGCAGATAATAATGGATGACTGGCCAACATATGCGGCGAAAGTTGACTAATAGGAACAGAACTCGTTGGCGACAAATATGGTGTACCAGTAGATACACCGCTGGAGTGAAGTGATGATGTATTTTGCCACCAAAGATTTGATCCGGGAGTTGCCAATGATGAAAATAATATGGGATTAAATGTAGGAAGAGATGGATTGTACTCAGATATAGCCGGAGTGGTTGTTGTCGTTGTGTTTCTTATGGATGCACTGGTGGACGATATTATCGATGGCATCGATGAATGTGAGGGCACTATGGCTGGACTCATCAGTTTTGATGATAAATCAGCTTCTGATCTAACACTTGGACTGGACTGGGTTTGAATGTGTTGTTTCATTGATGTCGGTGTTTCTCCTGAAGACTTAGATATACTATATTGTGAGCGATGACTACTTGGACTCGGATTGTATCTCTCGCTAACTGTATTGTTCAGTGACCGATGATGTGTTTGCTGTGATTGTACTACCATTGGAACCGATGATTGTGAATGTTGTCTCATCTGTTGTTTTTGATGTGATATTTGTGGCGATGAATGACTTGCAGACATGTAATGGTGTTGTTGTTGTTGTTGTTGTTGTTGTTGATGATGATGTTGTTTGTCATGAGATTTGTCTAATATATGATCTTTCAAGTGATGTAATGTAGTTGTCGTTTGACTTTGTTTTGTTTGATATGCCATTTGTTGTTGCGATGTCACCGACTTGTTATAATAGCGTGTACTTTGTGATGAAGGATAGGTCTGATGCGGTGACAATTGATGGACAGTTTGATAGGACTGTTGGTGAGTCTGTGTTTTAATTTGCTGTTTGTTGTAATTATTGGCATTTGATTTTTGTGTATTAATTTGTGGATAACTCTTGTTATTACTAATATTATGATTAATATTATTAATATTATTATTATTATTACTGTTGTGGTAGTGATGTGTCTGTTGTGTCTGATGTGTGGACAACTTCTGCACACAATGAGGAACATTGTTGACTACAAGTTGAGGACTTAGTTTATGCGGCGATGACTTGTCCTGAAGTGGTTGTTGTTGTTGTTGTTGCCGTGTCATCGGTGTTATCGATCGTATAGATGTATGAAGCGATGACATCATCGGTGGTGTCAATGAGTATTTCATTTGTTGATCAATAATAATAGGCTTGACTTTTGGCACTTCTTGTTTAGTCAATTCAATGACATCGTGTTTTCGTTTCTTAATGCTTAAGTCAAGTCCTCCAATTGATCCATCCATCAGTATTTGTGATGGAGAAGTACGGCTATCGGCTTCGAGACACCGTTTTTTGACACTTAAATCAAGAACATCATTGCTTAGGATATCTTCCGGTACTTTACTGGTATCACAATCAATGCGAAACAGCGATTGTGTTGTATATGAATGGGCCGGAACTGGAAATGTTTTGCCACTAATACTTAATTTATTCTTCATTGTGTTATTTGGTGGCAATTTTGTTGGACATTGAGCTGTAATTAATAGATTATTCGTTGGCTTTATCACCGTTTGTCTGCTATTGCCTAATATGTCCATTGATTTATCAAAACATTTGTCAAAATTGTTGTCTAACGGTGGGTCAGAAATGTTTGTCGAAAAAAATGTTTTGTCAACAATCTTGTCGTAGAGTTTAGTCTTTGTCGAAATCATTGATAACTGACTGGTCAACTGTAGAGGCGGTGTCAGACTCGGTGGTGAGTATACACTTCCGTAAGGAAGTGTCGGTACATTTGGTGTAATAGTGGCCGTCGGTGGCGGTGATGTCAACTGTTCGGCTTTGACTGAGTTGACAAGTGTTGAAATGGAGAATAATGGAGAAGCAGACACTCGATATGGAGAAGCAGACACTGGAAGTAATACCGGTGCGCCTGCAGTACTAGTCGTTACCTTTTCATCTGCCATATCATTTGAATTGTTTGAATCCATTTTCGTATAATTTATTTCCAATTTTGGCGAAACTGTTGCTTTCAATGGTTCAATGACTTTCGTTGTTGAAGATGATATAGTGGTTATCGATTGTGTTATATTATCACTGACCTGATCTTCGTCTTCGATATCGCTAACAGGACTTAAATGAATCACAGAATCACTATTAGAGGTGTTATGTTTGTCAGAAATGCTTTTGTCGACATCGATGGCAACGGTTGGCTCAACTTTTACTGAAATTGGCTCAACTTTTATTGAAATTGGCTCAGACTTAAGCTTTAGATCAAACTGTGGTTTCTTATCGGATTCATCTTCAGTGTCGGTATTCATATCGTCAACAATGCGCTGAACATCGAGTTTAATAACACTGGAAGTCGAGTCTTCGCTCATATCCTTCTTATTAATAAAATCTAAAACGTGTTTATTTTCACTGACACTCATCTCCTCATCATTTTGTTCATCAAAATCATTACACTTTTCCTCATCAGTCGATTTAATTTCTTCTTCTTCATCTTCTTCATCATCATCTTCTGGACTATTATTCTTGACTTTTGTCAAATTCAGTTTCACTATAAGTTTAGGTTGTTTTCTGTCGTCATCCGACGTGTCTTTTGATAATAATTCTGATGTCGTCACAAGTCTTTCACAAGATTCGCGTTGCGATGGCTTTTCATCAGAAGATCCATCTGAATCACTATCATTATCGTCATCTTCATTGCTGATACTGGACTTTGACTTGACTTTTGCGTCATTAATGCATTGTTTGCCCTTTTTCTTAGTTTTGGTGACATTGACTGAACCGACAGTACTGGTGATGTCTGTTGAGTTCTTGGAGCCCTTGGTTTTGCCCTTTTTTATTGCAGAACTGGTACTCGTAGTCTTGCGTCTCGTTTTCTTTTCTTGTTTACCGTTAAGATATCTTTCAAAAGGCAATAATAGTCTTTCATAGTGTCTTCGAGTACAAGTGGCCGCCGAAGTACTGCCCGGATCGCCACCCATAGCGTCGTATAGTTTTTTCCAACACTTATTGCTCGTTATCTTTTCATAACCACCTAATTTCATACCATAACTCCAGAAGAAAAACAGATCAACTAATAATAAAAAACAAACAAAAATTTTATCTTTAATATCACGGTTTCATGTAATTGTCTTGTAATAAAATTTATGATTCAGTTTATATTATTATTATTATTATTATTAATAACCTTATTTCATAAACTAATATTATTTTTATATATAAATATATAAATATATAAATATATAAATATATAAAAATAAAATAATATAATTTATTTTTGGCAAATTAAGGCTAAAATAGCACAATATAAATCATTGACGATAAATCAATTGTTGTCATAAATTTTAATAAATATTTTTGCTATCATTAATAATATATATTTATTGTATATATTAGAATATTATTAAATTATTGATATTTAAAAAAATATATTCTCTAGTATATATATATATATATTATTTCAATTTTGTTAATTATTAACATGAAATTATTTTAATTTAATATATTATTTATTAACATTGAATTAGTAACAGAAAAAAATAAAAATAAATTTATTTGTGTATAAATTAAATAAAAATCTCTTTCACGTAGATATCAATGTATGTATCTCTCATCACAAGTGATTGACTGTAATTAAGTATTTGTTAACTAACAAATAAAGTGATTATTGAACTACCGTTCCCCTCCAATGTGATGTCTAACTCAGTCACACATTACCAGACTATTTTCACTATTAATCTAACTATTAATAGCCGTAATACTAGTAAAGCTATCGTTTAATCAATATTTAGTTATACTGTTATAGCGATAGGAAAGTGAATCCCTTTTCGGCACAAAAATAACATACAATTGAACGTAAAAGTAAAGCACAACTAAATAATAATAATAATAATAACAACAACATCAGCACAAAGTGTTTGGTATAAAAAAAGTCAAGTCTATTGTATTACAATAGTCTTGTATTATATATATATAATAAACTCGTTTATTATTTAACTAAATGATTAATTATATTATGGCAACACAAATACACACACCATAAATTAATTTGTAAAAAATGTTGAATATTTGAAAAATAGGTTTACGCTATAATAACATTAAATTAATTAGTCGTAATACAGGAATAAATAAATAAAATAAATATTTTTTTAGTTTATTTATAAATTAAAATAAATATTCACTAAATATAGTAAAATTTTTAAATATTAATTATATAAATAAATATTTTAGAAATTAAAATTAAAAAAAAATGTTATATACTTTGTTTAAATCCCAGATGAGGTACCCTTTGAATCGGTGTTTTACGATCTTTCATAAACTTTTTCAAATGTTTCAGAAATGTTTGTTCGTCTTTAATACACATTTCCTTAAATTTGGTGCCATTTAAGGGCAATCCATCAAAAGCACAATTATTCTCATCATTGGTTATAATTGTTTTACTATTAATATTTACATTACTGTCTTCACTGTCAGTTTGGGTGCAATTAATGCTTTTTGTATTATTATTATTACAAGTAATAGTAGTAGTAGTAGTAGTATTGTTATTACAATTATTATTATCAGAGTTTGTGTTATTATTAATTATATGGTTATCACTATTATTATTATTATTACATTTTCCATAACTATTCCTTCTCTGGACAGTTGGCTTTTCAGTTGAATTTGACTTATTTAGAGCCGACCGTCGAGTAGTCCTTTGTTGAGATGTCTTACTTTCCTCTGAGGTATTGGATTCGGGTGAAGAACTTCGGGCACAACTGCCGTTTGCTACCGAATTGCCACCACTGGATGTGCTGGTATTGGTTACACCTAAACTACCGGCGCCGCCGCTAACAGTGCTATTGTTTCGTACAATAGCTGTAGTCCTCTTTCGGGGTCGACCTTTCAGTTTTGGTGCTAATTTCAATTAATATATAAAAATTGATATAAAACTTATAAATATGACCAATGTCAATTTAAATAATTAAGTTTATTTTATATACATAACATTATTAATTAATTAACAGCAAGCAACATTTATATTAATTACAAATAAACAAAAAATAATTACACATAATGTAATTTAGATTATAATGGTTATGCCGTAGTATTTTTGTTGAATATTTTAATTAGAAAATAATGCATACAATATAATCTTAATTAGTAAAATGTATTTGTAATTTATAAATAAATAATTTAATTCATCAAAATATTAAATAAAATATTGTATATGTCTAACCAAAACACTAATAAAAATATTAAATTGAATAATAAATAAAAAGTAAATATAATTTACTGTATTTATTGTATAATATATTCTAAAAATAAATTTAAAAAAATATTTTTTTCAAGAATAATATTTCTAATATAAAACTCAATATCCATAAATCCAATAAACGACTTGTGTATCACTAAACATATTGAATCAATTGAAATAAATATACAACAAAAATAACTTACAATATATAGCCGCAAAAAAGTAAAATAAATATATAATAAAATAAACTATTTTTTGCTAAACATTACTGTAATGCAAACAATGTTTTTGTCTGAAAATTTTTTCACTTCAATAAATATAAATATATCTATTTGTTTATATATTATTAGATATACGTATATATATATATATATATGGTATATATGTAGTGTATATGGTTATGTAACATAATTTATGTTATATAAAAATAAATTATCCAAAAGCAATACAATCTAATAATATTTTGACAATAAAAAGCAAATCGTTTTTTAATTTTTGATATTTTATTGATTTATATTATATTAACACTAATTTTATAGTAATGATGTTCATATGTATTAACTATGCTATAATATTACTTGACATATCTAATAGATTTTCTAAAATTGATCATTAAATTGATAAAAAAAATATAATTACTTAGTAAATAATATTTACATATATAGTAGTAATAAAATATCACTACTAGTTATAAAATTAAGAAATTAATATATTAACTTAAATGGTTTTTTTCAACAACAAAAAATAATTTTAATGACATTGTAAAAATGTTGTGCTTATAATTAATAATATTACAACCAATTAAATAGATTGCGTTAATATTAGGTAAATGAATGAATGAATGAATGAATGAAAATACAGTAAATAAATGATAGTTGACATCAATGATGATAATGAAAGTGATGATAACTTACCCAAATGGTCACAATTGAGATCATTTTGTAGGAGTGCCTCGTGTTCAAAGGTGTCTCTGCAAAACACTATATTTAACTTATTAGCGGTGGTCGGTATGCCTAATGAATTGATAGCATATTGAATGCCCGGACTGTTCATCCAATCTAACTCTTTGCCTTCAATACGACGCAACAGTGCCCGATAACGACAGTATCGGGGATATGACAGCACCACCGCTGATGAACTACATGAGCTGACATCACCTATAGTACATAAAAAACGATGCTTTTAATTACATTGGCTTTAATAAAAGTAATAATCTTATAATGTTTTATATGTTATAATTGATATCGATTTGCTTTACTTTGTGTCTGTGTGTGACAACAAATACAATTTATTTTATGTTACAATGATATTAATGATTAAAACAATAAATGTTTAATGTAAATACAAAAAAAACAGTGTATTAATGCTATTAATACTGAAATAGTTATTATCTATTAAACAATAAATAGCAATCAAATTTTATTTCAATAATTATAATTTATAAATATTAAAATATATAAACTCTACTATTATTAAATTATGGATTAAATTGTAGTTTAAATAAATATTAAATAGTGATTAATGTTAGGGAAAAATCTCTGCTATTTATTAATATTTTATATAAAAAAATCCATTGCATTTAATGTAAGACTTAAGATTAGTATAATTATTATTAGTTTAATTATAATAATTAATTACTGTTATTTTTTAGTGATATATATAATATAGTTTATATACATATACTATGTATATATGTATATATACTATATATAGCCCAACCCATCTCTCTGTTATAACATAAATACGATGAATACAGTATATAATTATATAACTAATGGGTTCCGTCACTAATCATTAGCATTAATCTGTTGTTTTATTTGTATATAAGTTATAAAACAACTCGTTTTAAAAGTAGAATTCAATGGAGAAAAAGATATCATAGATATATATATATATATATTCAAAACAAATCTCAACATTACATTTCATGCAAATCATTAAAAAACATAATTAATTTTTATTTATATTTCCTAATAAATATATCAAAATATTAGTTAATGCAATAATTTTTTTAAACAAAATAAAATTTTAGTTCATTATAAAATTTAATTTTTCAATCTCAAAATAAATTCATTTATAGCAACTTATTTTATTTTTATATAAACATCAATTATTATCACTATATATTATCAAATTAAAGAAAATGTATAAAAATACTCATAACAAACCATGTTTTACAACAAAAATAATTGTTTTAAAAGAAAAAGATAAGATAATATCAGTTGTAATTATTAAATAAAATTTATTTATATAATATATGTTTATAATATTATAAAATATTATAGTATATAAATATAATAAATATTCTATTAAAAAGATTTATTATATATTTTATAATACATTAAATATAAAGTTAAAATCAATCTAACATCTATAATTTTATATTATGTAGATATAATCAAATCATTATTATTAATAAATTTAATGAAAAATAATATTTTGATTGATAATAATTATATTATTACCATTGAAAAATATTATACATAAAAATTGTATAAATTGAATAAATAAATAAATTTCTAATCAATGTTTTACTGTTAAAATAAAAAATTCTTATTTAATAATAATAATAGATTTATACAATACATTATTCTCATTGCAAACTTTCAAAAGCATACTAATAGTCAAAAACAGTCTAATAATGCGCTACTTTTATAAACAGTTTGTATGTGATATCAAATGTTGTATTGTATTGTTAAATAATTTTATTATATAGTATATGATAGAGCTTTTAGCCAATCAAAACAAATTGTTTGTTTATCTATCGCATTATTTTTATTATTACTATTATAATGTTTTATATATAATAATATATATTAATAGTATAAAATAAAAAACAATTTTACAATAACAAAGAGAGCTTATTTTTGGCTAATAATTGTTTATTAAATTTTTTTATTTAGTATGATAATACTAATACTATTACAATACAGCTAAAGATTAAAACAACTAAATAAAAATAAATATTTCTAAAAACTCAAAAAATAAATATATACATATTATACAATAAAATTAGTATTTATACAATTAATAAACAATGTGATAAAAAAATCTTTATTCAAGTTAATTCATAATATATTATTAATTCATTAAAATCTATTATTATATTAAAAAATATTTTATTTATTTATATATTTGTCATTAATGATTAATTGAGTGTATAGTTTGATAATAAAATACTATACATTTATTTATTGCATACAATATTTTATGTTTAATATGACTCGTTTTTATCCATCAATTATAACCAAGTATATACAGTATAGATATATGATATAAAAATTTAGGTTTGATGTTATAATTTTAAGTGTAATAAAAAAATAAATAAAATAGAAAAATATAAAATAAATTTCATTTTGAAAACTGTTTGTAACAAATATAATATTATCTAATCATTTGATTGTATGTCTGTCTCTCTATACTACTGACACCCACTCATCCCAAAGTTTCACATCAAAAGCAATAATAACTCATTTGCGATAATATTAAATAAAAAAACAAACGTTTTTATGATAACTAATAATATTGAATAAAATCAATGAAAAAACATGTTTTAAATCTTTAGTTATATTAATATAATATGCACACAGAGTTTACAAAAAAAAAATTACTACTTATTTTAGTAAAATAGCTAATTAACAATTCAAAGCACGACTTTATATATTATATAAATAAATATATAATTTATAATTTTTTGTTTAGAAACATTCATATTGTGTAAAAAGATTGTATTTTACGTTTATATATATAAATATATATTATAACATATATACACTATAAATAAACGATATATATATATATATATATGAAGACCCTGCGCACTCAAATCAATTAAATAACAAAATTGTATTATATTATTGATTTTAAGCCTTAAACACATTTTATTCGCCTCTTTTTGTTATACAATACAACAGCAGTTGCTTTATATTTCATTGAAAATAGGTTTTAGTTGTAGCAAAAAAAGGGATCACAAAAAAGTAAAGTTAAAAAATATAAGCTTTTTATGTGTATATTAAAAGAGCGTAAAGAAATTTATTGCTATCAATACTATAGTGGCAGTCAATATGTTTTACATTTTAATCAAATATATAGTTATGAAATGTTTATTCGTGTTATGCAAACCTAAATTACACTCATTTTGTATATTATTTATATTATTTATATTATTATAACAAACATTATAAATTTATTTATATTAACTTTTTCTTAAATACATTTATTACATTATAACACTTTATATAGGGATTAATTATTAATATGTGTATTTATCAAAATAAATATTAAATAATAATAATAATGTAATTATTATTTATCAAAAAAGACTAAATTATATTATAATACTGTAACATTTGTAACTCAATAAAAACAAAATTATATTATGTAAGCAATAAAATGTTTTAATACAATATAAACGCCGATAGATGTAAGGAATGGCATAAGTATTATAAGAATTACTCATTTAATATATAAAATATAATGATTTTTGCAAAACATATATATATCTCAGTGAATATAAATATTTATCAATAGATAAAATAATATGTAAAATGTCTGTCAATGACAATGTGTGGGCACCGGAATAGCAATTTATATGTTATATGGCATAAATCAGACTATATATATATATATATAATATAATAAAATAAAATATATAATATAAGTGTATGTTTATGTATTACATACAAATTTATTATATCAATAGTTTATTCAGTATAACTAAAATAAAATTTTATATTTTTAGTTCACATCTATCCTAAAGGGTTTTTACGGCTCACAACACTATACTATATATTAAATACAAGATATAAAAAAAATTGTATACATTTTTATGTTTAAAAAGTATATACAGTATATCAAGATAAGAGAAATATGAATTAAAGCAAATATGCTGTAAATTTCATTTAAAATTTATTAAATTAATTAATTAAATAATATATGTTTAATGAATATAAAAGTTTATCTTTTTATTATTAGATATGATATTATTTAATAATTAGTCAGTTAACAAAATCACTCATTTATATTTTATTTTCAAATTTTATATTTAGTTATCATTTGTGATTAACATCTATAGTTAAATTTAATAATAAAGCAAATAGTATAATTGCCTAATTTATCATAATATTTTTTAAAAATATAATAAAAATTAAATCATATGTACAATAATTTAAATAAATAAAATTATCCAAACAAAATTATTATTTTGTATAAAATATGAAAACATACTTTTTGTAACCTTAAAAAAGTGTTAATAATAAATGAAATAACAAATGAGGCTATGATTTAATGGGACTTTTTTTGTATTATATTCATAGTACTTTTAATTATTTATTTATTTACATGTATTTCATAATAACCCGAGTGTTTAATGCAAAATAAAATAAGACCAAAAAGTTTCAAAAAAAAATAATAAAATAATAATAATAATGATATGTTTGACTGTTTTGAGGGTAAAAACCAATTATTCACTTCAATCTTAAATAATGGGGATTTTTTAAACAAAATATATATTTTTTTGCAGCAAATGCAATATAATGAGCAAAAATGTTTTAATAATAAAGTTTGGCTTATGGTTTGACATTTAAGTGTTGATTTGTTTAGTTAACAAATGCGAACCACATTCCTCTCTCTCTCTCTCTCTCTCTCTCTCTCTCTCTCTCTCTATATATATATATATATATATATATATATATATATATATATATAGTTGGTTATCATAGCACCGGGCAATCTCTTAGTTCATATACAATATTAGCAGAAATGCCAATACATTTATACTACATTTAGAAGGCTGGGGTGTGACCAGTATTTCCTTTCAAGTCTAACCAATATTATAATTATGGCTAAAAACAGGATAACAATCTCCTATTACTTATTATGTTAAAACACACTCAATAACATTATAGATAATTAAATGTTAATTACGCTTAAATGTTAAAATAATCTTTTATTACAATAGTAGCTAAACAGTCTTTATATATATATATAATGTTGTTTTTATTGTATAAAATTAGTATATTTTTATTATTATTAAACTAATAATATAAATTTTTTAAAAAATTATATTAATACTGTTAACAACCATTGAATTCATATAACCTGTCATTTTAAAACAAAATAATAATTACATGAAATAACATATTGTATTCTACTATAA